AGTTAATGTCAGTTGGTCTATCGGTTATAAATATATTTGGACACAACATGTATACTTGGTGTTATGTTCCTGTTCATATTTTTTGAACTTAAAAGTTGACAGACAACATAAATTTCAGCTTCCTGGATTTTTTTTTTCATCTGGCCTTCAGATATGAAAGGCAGAGTGATTTAACACCTGTTTGGATTTGTCATATATGTGACGAAATGAAAAGTATGCTGTTTGCAATAAACTTTGCATAAAATAGTTAATTTGCATTTAATTTTAATGGTTCAAAGAATGCCAGGCAAAATGGTCAGCCCTCACACATGTTCACGTCATCAAATCTGGCTCTCTTTGAAAAAGGTTTGGACACCCCTGACCTAGCTTTAAGAGGCTTAGGAGGGCCCTGCTCGTCAGAGCTTACAATCTAAAAGGGAGGAGCAAGTGATTGAAAAGGTGGTAGTTATGTGGGGATGAGTTGTTTGAGGAGGTAAAATGTCTGTTGTTAGGTAAAGATGGGAGAGGCTTCCATAGAATGAGGATTTTTCAAAGGTCGCATATAGGCAGGAGATAGCCAGACAGCTTGGGATAAGGCGTTCCAAAGGATGGATGAGACCCTTGAGAAATATTGGAGGTGACAAGGGAGCTAGACAGCAGGAAGTCTTGGGAGGAATGGAGAGGGCAGTTTTGGTGATATTTTTAGACAAGGTTGGTGATGTAGCTCAGGGCAGGCACCTTCCCCCAACTTTTCCCTTGAGATTGTTAACACAACTATCCAGCCCTCCCCCCATGCCAAGGTCCTAGGTGTCATCCTTGACTCCGGACCTCACCTTTCTCCCCCACATCCAATCACTATCCAAATCATGCCGCCTCCACCTTCGTAACATCTCCAAAATACGCTCCTTCCTCACCAAAGATACCACAAAATTGCTCATCCACTCCCTTGTTATCTCTCGTCTTGACTATTGCAACTCCCTCCTCATTGGCCTACCTCTACACAGGCTATCCCCCCTTCAGTCTATCATGAATGCAGCTGCTAGGCTCATCCACCTAACCAACCGCTCAGTGTCTGCAACCCCCCTCTGTCAATCCCTACACTGGCTTCCTGTAGCCCAAAGGATAAAATTCAAAATATTAACAACCGCGTACAAAGCCATCCACAACTCTGGCCCCGGCTATATCTCCAACCTGGTCTCAAGTATTAATAAAAAATTGTAATATTCTTTAAAAAAAATCCTGGAGCCAGGGCGCTGGGTGACATGCGGTGCTTGTGCGGCTGCCGGCTGAATGTGTTAGGCCCCATTCACACTGCGCGATTCGTAAATTGCGCGTTTGTTGCGCAATTTGCATTTTGCGCGATATCGCGCAAATGCTTGCATTGAGCAAGCGAGAATCGCGGCAAAATCCGCTCCAAAAAGGGTCCTGCTGTAGCGACACACGACCCGCGACAGCAGGACCCTTTGCCCCATTGCAAAGCATTGAAGAGTGATATCGCGCGGTAAATAGCCGCGATATCGCGGGAATTACCGCACGATAAATCGCTCAATGTGAACGGGGCCTTAGACACCGCAGATGGAAAGGGGCAGGACACCTCTCCCCATGTGCAACATCGGCCACGCGAGCACCATGGGAGGACAAGACACTGGGGCCTGTAGGACGCACTGGAATGTAAGCCGCCCCACTCCCTGTGTTCAGGGGCGGGAGGGGGTGTGTGGTTTGTATTGAAGTCAATGGCACCGCAGGCATGCCCCCCGCCCACAGTGCGATCGGCCGCACCCGGAACGCAGGCACATTAGTGCCTGCATTTTGGTCCAGTGCGATCTGCAAAAATATTGCTTGCAGCATTTTTGCGGATTGCACTGGACTGGAACGCAGGCACTAATGTGCCTGGGTTCAAGGGCAGGCGATCGCACTTGGGCGAGGGGCCTGCCTGTGGTGCCATTGACTTCAATGCACCACCACGCCCCCTTCCGCCCCTGAATGCAGGTGTTTTTTCGTTGGTAGATCTCATTGAGCTCGTCATTTGAAAAGTAGATCTCCAGACGAAAAATTGTGGGCGCCCCTGATCTACTACATCAGTGGTCAGCAGAGAAGTGCCGCCTTACATTGTGGTCAAGTAAGACAGACAGCTACAAATATCATTGGTGGCTTGCCATTGACTCTGCCAAGTTATGTTCTTGGAAGGATGTAGGTATTAGCAGATGAAAGGTCAGTTTGCCACTGCTCAATTCACCCCCTATCAACCTCTGGAGGCACCCTAGTTAAGAATGGCTGTTCTAATGACTTGTTACCTGTAATTGTTTTGATGGTCCTGATGGTCTTTTGTATGGTGGTAAAATGACCCATCTATAATAAGTATAGCCCACACACCTTAAACTTTGATTGCAAATTGAAGGCATGTTTTGGACATATTGAGCAGATTACACTGAACATAACAGACTGTAAGGTCTCATTCACACCTAGGCGTATTGCATATGCGCATCTGTCGCGCGGTTTTTTTACCGCGATTCGCGGTAAAAAAGTCGCGTGACCGTCGCACGTTTCCGAAGGCTACTTGGCTGTATCCCAATGGAAACGCGCAACAAAACGGCCCAAAGTAGTACCTGTACCTTTTCAGGCGTGGGCCGTTTTGTAGCGCGTTAGGGACGGGCGGAAATACGCCAAGGTGGGAACGAGACCATTGAATACAATGGGATTTATATTTTTGAGCGTTTTGTAGAGCGTTCGTCGAGCGTATAACGCGCTACAAAACGTTCAGGTGTGAACGAGGGCTAAAGATCCAGTGCTTTATTATTTAAAAAAAGGACCACATATGGAGGCTTGGATATTCTCTAATTAAACTGTATACACTTTAACACAACTTGTTTGAGTTTTGGCTAGAGTAGGGAAGGGTTGAAAGCTCTGTCAATATTGTATTGCCGTTTTGTTTCCTCTCTGCAGAGATTTACCCTCTCCATTTGTCCCAGTGACCATGGTCATGGACATGGAAAGTGATGGAAAAAGTGAAATCTTGCAGTTGTCACCAGAACAGGGGGTCCCTGTACACTCTCTTCTAGTTTTGGTGACAACTGCCTGAGAGGGGTATTTGTCTCACTTTATAGAGATTTTTTTTTTCTCTCGCTTCCGGTTGTATATTTTGGACAGAAAGAAATAAACTGAAAAAGGGCTTTATACTCTATCCAAAACTACAACAAAAAACAATTTGGTGGTGTAGCATGAAGTGCATTTCACTTTCACATCTTTATGCTCAACTCCAGCCAAAACATTATTATGTTTTGTTTTGAATTGGCTTTGAAAAAGTATACAATATGCATTGCTGTCTATGATCCCTTTGAAGAGAGTTTACCCTCACTTGCTGGTTTGGGAGCAGACATCACCAGTAACACAATCTTTAAAATCTTGACATTTTGTAAAGATGTAAAAATCTACCAATAAAGCATTACATACTTTATATCTGCTGCCATCCTTGTGATGAAGTCTGTTCTCAGATTCGCCTCTCCATAAGTCATTCATCCAACAAAAATGTATATAATGACTGTGTTATACTGGTGATGATACTGGTAATGTGATGGATTCTCCAGGATGTGCATTGCATTGCATCTATTGGTACCAATAAAAAAGCCAACTAAAATAAAACAAACAGTGGTGTCATGTCTGTTTTTCGATCATATGTCCTATTATTCACAGTAATACAGTATCATAGTAGGTAGCGTACATTTCAAATAATATCACTCGAGAGGGATGATAGATTTGTATTTAATCAAAGCGTCCTGCATGGTTTTCTACATTCTTCCTGAAAACCTCACAGCACCCCACCTCAGTACTTCTCTGGTGTGCCCACACACCTTGCGATAATCGCGGGGAAATAACGCGATTGTACGATTATCGTAAGGTGTGTGGAAGCCGTCCGACCTCTACTACTGTGTGTTCGCACGACTTTTATCTTAGGCACATGTTCGAAAACCTGCCGAGCATCGTACGATGTTCGGCGGGTGTGTAGCATGTTCGTAAGATAAAGCCGGAAGGGCCGGTGTGCACAAACGCACACTGCCCGTTCGGCATTGCGGTCATCGGAAGCCTGCCCCTCTGGGGGGCGCGGCTTGCGATCATCGCAAGTACAGTCTGCCTGTCAAAGATAGGCAAATCGTACGTTTTTTTAATTACCTTACAACCATCTCAAGACAAAAGTCTTGCGATGGTTGTAAGGTGTGTGCCCAGCCATAAGCAGCGATATTCAGCCAGGGTCCAATATGAAGAAAGTTCCTAATGTGAAAGGAGGCGGCTCCCAAAGTGAAGGGAGGGGGGAGCTCCTAATGTGAAGGGGGCTGGGGGGATTCTGATGTCAAGAGGGCTCCCGATGTGAAAGGAGGCGGCTTCTGATGTGAAGTACGACTCTTAGTGTGATGGATGACAGCCTGGCATAGTAGTCATTCCCAGGCAGGCTGCATTTGCATGCAGACTGCCCTAGGTAACGCCTACATCTGATGATATCATTAAAAGAACTGAAATCTAATGAATGAAAAGGGTGGACCCAGGACAGTAAGGCTGGGGAGAAGTACAGGAGAGGAACCTGTGCAAGACTGAAGGTTAGTCTGGAGTTCAGCTTTAATCACATCTGATACAAAATGTATGTAGCCAACTTTAATGACAACACAGCGACAACTTGACCCTTGGCGGACAGTTGTCTAGTAATTTCTAGAGGGTCTTGATCATAGAATTATAGCAAATTGTGGCTGTCCGTTGAATCCAGTCAGATTCTAGCTGTCAATTAGATTTTGCTGTTTTTAGATTATGAATACATTTTTATGTCTTACACTGGCATAGAGAGTATAACAGGATGTAACTTTTGCTTTACTGTGACATCAGTTTTAGTATGCTTTTCTTTAAGAGAAAAATCTCACCAGCTACTTATTGTGTATTTTATATGAAACAAGCTGTTGGTGTAATTTAAGAGCACTTACTTTCTGAGATTGTTTGGCACTCTTTCAATGTGTTAATTTTTTTTTTTTCCTTTGCAGTTTGCCCTGCTAGATGTAAGCACCAAGTCTGTACCCGTGATAATCGATGCTGCCACAGTGAGTGCCTCGGAAGCTGTACAGAGCCTGATGACCCCTTTAAATGTGTAGCATGCCGAAATTTCCTGCATCATGGGGAATGCGTGGAGACTTGTCCTCGAGGCTTTTACAACTTGCTTGGGTGGAGATGCATTACCTTCAATGAATGCCAAGAACTGCACAATAGAAGTCGAAATTGTCTGGACAACTCTTGCCCTCAGTATGTTACTCACAAAGGAGAGTGCATATCAGAGTGCCCATCTGGCTACACCACTAATTCTACCACGTAAGTATTTTTGTTTTTGTTTGTTTAACTTGGTGCTGATCTTTTTGCAGAACTAGTATAATATCCAGGAGCCACTCAAGTTTGATGTTAGGCACTAGGTTCTCTTAAACTTGGAAAAAAGCTTCTGTATTCCTCAATAGCCACAAAAAATAAAAATCCACTTTGCGTGCACCTAATGTCTTTACAGAGTCAGATATTATCTTATAAAATAGCAGCGACATCATCATTGTGCTTTAAAGAGCAGAACTGTCCTGAAGACCAAGCAGACCCCGCCCTCCTGAGGGCTGCCTGCAGAAAAGAGGGTGGGTGGCAGATACAAGACCAGTCTGCTTTTTTATTTTTAGCAGCTACTGGGACCATGCGGCGTTCCATATGTGGTTTTAGACTTAGTGGCTAGTTGGCTTCAGGGTCTTTTTAAAGCCTTTTCCTAACTATACACGTTTAGGCTTAGTGGCTATTTGGCTGCAGGGTCTTTTAAAGCCTGCCCCTAGCTCTTGGGTAAAGGTACACATTAAATCACCATGTGCACAGGTTAACAATCAACTCACCTGTGTTTATCATCCATTGCGGGATACAGGAATAGTAGATCTTAGACCAATTGGTTATATTCCCCCAAGCCAGCCCCCTGTATAATCCTACCTCCTTCTGTCATGCCAATGTTTTTTGCTAGTATCCTAGGAGGTTGAATGTTTATACCCTCAGAAAAAAATAAAACAATTTTTTTTCAAACTTTTTTCTCTATCACCAAACTTGTTACTCCGTAGATCTTTTTTTCTTTTTAGTTAAGATGTTTTCTATGCTGCTTGAGATGGTCTCTATACAACAGCTATCTGGATCGGAGTATCCTCAGCAATAGCTTTGGAGGCCGTACCTTGAGCCTACTGTGGACTATAGATTGCGGGGCTAGCCTAGAATGTGACCTTCGGGCCATGGGATCTCTTTGTGGCACTTTCCAGACCTTTGTGTACATCATTAGCTTCATAGGGCTTTCCAGGTACAGAGCTGTATTGCAACTTGTAGTGTGTCCCAGTCTTTAAGGAATCACTCTTTGAGTATGCCCATGGACAGATCTAGGATAGCCTTGAACGTAACCTTCAGGTACCAATCTCTACCAAGTGGTGCTTTCCAGACCCGTGTATACTGTGCCAGTTAGCCACAAAACGCTATACAGGTTCAGAGCATTGACACAGCCTCGGGTATAACCTAGTCTCCGACTCCCTTTTGTGAATAAATGTCTGGTAGTAGCAAAGATAACCTGTTGGGTTACCTTCAAATACTAAGCTCTGCATTGTGGCGCTTTGCAGACCCTTGTGTACTGTCGGTTAGCTGCAGCTTTCTAGGTCCAGAGCAGGGGTGCAGCTTGTTGTGATCCAGTCTTTGCACATTCATTCTCTAAGGAAATTTCTGATGTGGATAACATGTCCCGATAATTAACCTTTGGGCAGTGGACTCTGCTTTATAACACCCGGTCCTTTGCATATGGTATTGGTAACCACAAAGCACTTTGTGGTTCTAGAGCCGTGGTACAGCCTTTCGTATAACCCAGTCTCTGAAACCCTTTCTTTCTCAGTGAGCTTCTGAATGGGCTAATTTTTAATGTGTCCTTCAGTACCGAATCTGCATTATGCCGCTTACAGTCCCTTGAGTATGGTGTCGGTAGCAGAACACTTTCCAGGCTTAGAGCCATGGAGTGATCTTGTCTCTGCAGTCTCATCTTGTACAGAACTCTGTTTGTGGTGAATATATTTTGATATGTAACCCTTTTACATTGAGCTCTGTCTTATGCCGCCAGGTTCATTCCCCCCCATCTCCACAAGTATCCTTGTGTGATTATTTCCCCATTTCCACTATGCAGACTCACAGAGGCTCAGTCCTGGGCCCTATTCTTCCTCGTGTGGATGGGGAACCTGGTTATAACAACAGTTTCCAGTCGTGAAAAATGTATTAAATGAGATTATTGTCTGCCTTTTTTTTATATGGTGCCCCACTTTTTCCTTTTTTTTGTGAAATCGGATACAGGGAATTTAGAAAATAACAAGATTTTTGGGTGACCGCTTTCCATACACCACTACTGTTCACTGTTATCCCCAGAAGAAACAGATGCCTGTATTTTGAATCCTGAAACCCCTATTTTTATAGTGTCGTCATCAGCTTCTATAGCTCCACTGCTTGAGCCTGAGACCTGCACTGTCTCTTCCAGGCTTCCTAGATCCACTTCTGACTTTGTGTTTGTGCACAATTAATGTAACGGTCTGCTCACATATTCAATATGTACCCACCACCTACAGCAGAACCTAGTTATAACCCTAGGGGGCTCTTATTCCTCAGAGTACCTAAGTCCCCTATTATTCTGGTTCCGAATCAGAACCTTCACAGCCTACTCCTTTTGCTTCAAATCCCTTCATCTGTCTGTCTCTCCTGGGTAAGTAAGAGCTCTACTTGAAGGTTTCTCCTTCCAGGTAATCTTAAATACTTACTAACTCAATGAGCATATCATGTGGGTTTACTGAAGAGTAGTTCGTAATCGTGAAGGCTTCTTTGGGGGACCTGTATTTTCAAATACTTTTTTTTTTTTTCTTTTTTTTTTCTTCTACTTTTTTCAAAGAGCTAAATTCCTAGTGGTTATATCTCTTTGCTCATCTAAGAGGCAATTTGTTCTTCGGGTATACCCGCAGAATTATATTCTGCTATTAGTTTAGTTTTATTCTTTGCGTCGGCAGCTCTGTATGGTATGTTTTGTTCTATTTTGAGAACTATAGTTCTTAGGTAGTTCTTTCCCCTTGGATTAATTTTATCCTAGTCATTAAAACAGGTTTGGCCTTGGTGCCCTCTCCTTTTTCAGATGAGCACTTCTATGATTCCCGCATCTCTGTGGCTATTGGCCGCCCCTCATTTGGACAATGCAGTGCTGCTACTGCTCTCCCTAGTATTTGAAATGAGCCTTGCACAGATACTCACTTTACCCTGAATGGGTAAGGTCACAGTGACTCTAACAAATGTGTGTTTGGATTGAACCTATATAAATATCTGACTGTTCAGTTTTTTTTAGACTTGCAGAATGCCAAGCTGAAATGTCACTTAAAATGTAACTGCATCAAAATGCATACATTTATTTTCTGGGTCTTTATGTCCATACAAGTCGTCTTGTATGGATAGCCTACATTTTTTTTTTTTAAAGTGGTTGTATATAATGTAAAATTAGTAGCATGAAGCTTGGAAATCTCAAATGTAAACTGGCTGTTCTTTTGTTTCCGGCAGCTTGACATGTGAGCCCTGTGCAGGACCCTGTCCAAAGATCTGCACCGTCCATGGTAAGGAGAAGGTCATAGATTCGGTTACATCGGCACAAGAACTTCGAGGTTGTACTGTAATTAGTGGAAATTTGTCCATCAATATACGAGGAGGCAGTAAGTATTTTTAAAACATGCTCATATATTTAACTGCAAATCTTGTATTGGAGCACTGGTACGGTGCAGTGTATTGCTACAGTTTGGCTACAAATTGTATATTTTTGGATTTATCAAACAAAACATAATACCAGCAATACATGTTGGAGGTGAATTAGTGTAATCTCCATGTTATGCAGACGTCCTGTGTACTTTGAAGTTTTTTGTTTGTTTTTTTCTTTTGATGTCTGTAGTACATCCAGTGTCCTCAAATGGTTAAGTGACATGCAAGTGTAACATGTACAGGTATTTATTTCCCAATCCCAGACATTGCCTTCATCTTTTTTCCCCCGGGAGAAACAATGCCATCTTTGCAGCTCAGTACCCTGCTACCTGATTACTGAGGGATGAAAGGCTTCTTTCTTGCAGCAGACTAGGATTACTTTAATTTCCTATGATGATACCTTCAGGTGGCACTTGAGGAACTGTGCCTAAGAACACTCATTTGACTTCCAAAAAAACCATAATAAGGATGTGTTAATTTCCTGTTTTTCAAATGTCCAAAGAGTAGCTGTGCTGTGGAAGAAGAACTTGCATCATAGGCAACTGAAAAATAATGTGGAGGGTAAAGTGACTCATCCCTGTCTCTAGAACATTTTCATGACATGTGGTCTGATAACGTGACTTTCATTCAGAGATATCCCTAAAAGCACTTTAGTAAAAGTGAAGGAAGAGAAATATATATTAGAGATTCATGGTGCTGTGTTTCAAAGATTTGTCTTCCAGTTGATAATGTATCTCTCTATTCCAAACTTTAGTTTTATTTTTACACACATTTTTTTTTTCTTTTATTCTATCAGATAACATTGCCACAGAGCTAGAAGCAAACCTTGGTCTCATAGAAGAGATTACTGGATACCTTAAAATTAGACGATCTTATGCTTTGGTATCTTTGTCATTCTTCCGTAAGCTACGAGTAATAAGAGGTGATACACTGGAAACCGGGTGAGTGTTAATAAGAGAGACATACTCTTATTGCAGTATGGGCTTGATCAATAATGCATACATTGTTTGTGTTCAAACACATTGCGTGAAGGTAGCCCATTCATTTTAAATAGGCTTTGCAACACATGCAGCTATGCGCCTGTGTTATATTTGACAACAGTGTACCAGAATGCACAAAGCATTGCTGTCTCTTTTTTCTCTTTTTTTTATTTTTTAAATGTGCCTTGTGGTGTCATGCAGAATGAATAAAGAGCAGTAAGGCATGTTTTTATCACACACACAGCACAATTGTGAATCCAGTCTTTGTACTCCCAACATATTCTTTATTTGCTGAGCCACAATTGACAGCCTTGCAGACAGATATAAACCTTAGCACAATATTTAAGTATGAAACTCTTCCATTAGATTGTGTTTTTGCAACAACAATATAGTCTACCATAATGAAAAACGTCATTAGAAAAGTCACTGGCAGGTAATGAAACAATTAATACTTTGGTCAGAAGTATGTAATATACAGTATAGCATATAGCATGCAGGGGTCGGTCAGGAGTATGTGATCTACAACACTGTGGGGGGGGATTTATCAAAACAGGAGCAGACAAAATCTGGAGCAGCTGTGCTTGGCAACCAATCAGTGTTTTTCTTCAGTTTGTTCAGTTAAGGTATGAAAATGAAAGAGAGAAGCTGATTGATTGCTATGCACAGCTGCTCCAGTTTTGATAAATTCGTGTGTGTATTTATATTACTATGGGGTCAGAGGTATGTAATATGCCATAATATAATATATAGTGTTATAGTGCAGGGTTCAGGAGTATGCTACACATACAATGCAGGAATTAGGAGTATGTAGATAAAATCCTCCCTCATCTTATCCCCTCCCAAGAAAAACCTATTTTCTGGCACAAATCCCTCGTCCAGGCATGAATTAACCAACACCTCCCATTCCACCAAAAATCTTTCCACATCCTCCCGAGCAACAATACCCCATCCAGTACAAATATCCCTCTTCTCTCCCTCAATGCAAAACAACCACCAGCAGACATCATATGTGGAGTGGTGCCTGGTACGGAGTGAGGAAAGTCCTCACAAGCTTCCTCTTGGCTTTGCATCATGTGACACCTCAGAGCTGAGGTGGAGTTTTGGGAGTGTCTTTGCGCTGCTCTTAGATCTGTACAGGGAACTTTGTTGTTATGCAATAGTCCTTACACAGGGGCTCTGAGTGGTAAGAACCAAGGATACCCATACTTTCAGACAAATAAAGACTGTGTTTCTGGTAATTTTATTTTAAAAGTACCACATTTCTAATTGTAAAACAGAGCAGACTTCATTCAGTGATAACTAGAAGGCAATCAAATTCTCAATGGAATTGTCTTTTTTGAAACCGAAGTATGTACCTAAATAGAAGTAGCTGCTTTCCTTCAAACAATCCTAATCCTGGTGTCATGTTGCTCTGTGTTTCCTATGTGAAATGCTTTAACCTGCCTCCAGTTATTCATACATTAGAGCAGGGGTGCCCATAAGGTCGATCGCGATCTACCATTCGATCGCATAGCGATCACTGGTAGATCGCTATGTCCTCTCCTCCCACCCGTGGGGCTTCTGGATCCCCGCTGCTCTCTCCATCTGATCATCGGGGATCCGAGAAGAAGTGAAGTGCGGGAGGGGGATCCGCTGCCACAGAAACTAAGGCCGAGCGGTGAGGAGAGAGAGAGACGCTCGGCCAGGTTCTGACAGCCAGCGCCTCTCTCTACCCTCACCGCTCGGCCTTAGTTCTGTGACAGCGGCTCCATCTCGCCCCCGGTTCTTTCACTTCTCGTCGGATCCCCTTGCTGCCTCTGCCTGGAAGAGCAGGGGGGATCCAGAGGAGAAGCTGAGCCCCTGTGTGCGTGGCCGAGCAGCACAGGATCGGTACATATCAGTGATATGTACCGATCCACTGTGCAGGACAAAGCCCCCCAACAGTAAAAAGAAACATTTAAATTAAATAAAAAATAAGAAATAATAAAACTAAAATAAAACATAGTAAAAAATTAGAAAAACATCCTGGAAGCAGGGCGCTGGGTGACATCACACGCCAGTTGGGGGGGAGGCACGGTTTTTTTTCTTGCATCGGGCGCGAAAGGAGCTGGCTACGTCTATGCTCCTGCGGTGCTCGTGCGGCTGCCTGGCTGCGGTGCCATTGATTTCAATGCACCGCCACGCCCCCTCCCACCCCTGAATGCAGGTGTTTTTTTGTTGGTAGATCTCATTGAGCTCGTCATTTGAAAAGTAGATCTCCAGACGAAAAATTGTGGGCGCCCCTGCATTAGAGTAAAGCTGGCCACACACTGTGGGCCTGAATGGTAAAAAATGCTCGCTTCCCCCTGCTGAAATGAGAGCAGTATATGGTCAGTTTAAATGTTGAGCTGTAAACAATTTGTATTTTAAAAAAAATTAAATGCTGTGTAGTTTATAATATGCAAATTACCGTAATGTTTTTAGTGTGATAAACCTGCATTGTAAGCATTTTGCTATGCCTAAATAATGACAATGAAAATATATATATTTGTTTTGTACTGCAGTGATTATGCCTTCTATGCACTAGACAATGCCAATCTGAGACAGCTTTGGGACTGGCAGAAGCACAATTTAACAATTCTTAAAGGAAAGCTCTTCTTTCATTTCAACCCACGTCTCTGTCTACAAGAAATTTTTGAAATGTTCAGAATCACTGGAGCTAAAGATCGACAGGACAAAAATGATATTCCAACTAAGACTAATGGGGATCAGGCATCATGTGAGTATATTATTATGTTGGCAATGCATGCATTTGGTAGATCTGCCAATAGACTGTATTACAAGCAATGTTACTGTCAAACAGCTACTTTTTCCTATCCATTTGGAAGGAAGTTCTGCAGAAAGTTTATATCTGTATCGCAATAGGAATCTGTGACAGCACCACAAAGCTTATCCTCAAATTTAACAGCACTGGGCATTTAAAAAAAATTTTTTTTTGCTTTTATTATTTTGTTGGGTAAATGTGGAATACTGCACATTAATATTAGGCATTTTTTCTATCCAGTCGGAAAGGGGAGCCTTAGATTCCTTTTCACATGTTTTGCTGTTTCAGAGGATTTACACATCGTTTTCAAATGATTGACAGATCCCTTCCCCCGCCGAGCCCACTTCCCTTAAAGTATACCGACTTAAAGGAGATAACCACTCCTATGTTTTTTCTTCAGAACACACATAATATACCGTATATACTCGAGTATAAGCCGAGATTTTCAGCCCATTTTATGTATAACTTAGTATAAAAAAATTGGTTTAAAAAAGTAAAGTAAATGAAAAGTAATTGAAAACAAGTAACTGCAGAAAAAAATTTGTATAGACAGAGTTTTAGTGCGTTTCTTATGCACTCTAAACAATTGGTGAGAGAAGTATTCGGCAGCAATGGCCCAGTGTACAATCCCAGTATCTGCCAGGTAGCAGGAAGAATTGACTCCCATGCGCATGCACAGGAGTTGTATCATCCTGGGCTAGCCAATCAAGATAGCCAAGTATGCAGAACCCAGAAGAAGACCGGGTAAATGGTGCCAACGAGGGTGCTCACGGATATCACATTCTGAAGGACAGGTGTTTGTGGACTTTAGTTCTGCTTTACAGTTATGCAGTTTTAAGTCATTTAATACATAGAATATTATTACCAGAGCACTGAGATCTGCTTTTTACAAAAGAGGCCTGCTTTCAAGCAGACTCTGTCTTACTGAAACCCTGTTGTGAAATGTTTGATATGGGGCGAGTTACCAAGTCTGTCTAGATATGTTGATGGTAAGTGAGATTAACCCCTCGCCGTGAACCCATCGTAAAAATATGGGCGGACAACGGATGCTTTCCGGCAGGTGGACGTACATTTACGTCATTTGTTTTTTTTTCTGCTCGTGCGCACACGCCCGCGGAATCATGCCGGGAATGCGTACAGCCGTTACCGGCTGTTATATACAAGCGTTAGAGCTGGCCGATCGCTTGTATGACCCTGCATTGTGCGCCCCCCCCGCTGCCGGTTATGCCGGGCACCGCATGGGGGACAGCCGCTGATCTCTCCTCCTTCTCTCTCTCCAACGGCGGAAGCAATGTCTATTACATCACTTCCGCCTTTAGCTGTCATTTCTCTGGCTGATAGCCAGAGAAGAAGCTGGTGAAACAGATCTCTGCTTCATCAGCTTCTTTGGAGGTCCCTAGGTGACATTAGAGGTCTTGGAAACCCCTGATGTCTCCATAAAGGGGACCTGCCATTGTCTAGTGGCTATCACATGGGAGGTTTTTTGACCCCCATGTGATAGCAATCAAGTTAAGTGTAAAAAAAAAAAAAGAAGAAAAGTCACAAATTAAAATAAACACCAAAAGTTTTAAGGCCCCCACGTGCACACACTTATAAATGCGTATTTAGGTCCGGTGCGACTACAACTATTACACCACACGTTACATATCGCCGTGAATGTCGCAGTGTGAGCAATAATTTTAGGGCCATTAATCACTGATAACACTAAACTGATGAGCAGTAAAAGCTTTTAAAGCATCGCCTATGGCCAATTTTAGGCATGGTAGTTTTCAGCGATTTCGCGGGCGCACGCAATTTTAAAGCTTGACATGTTGTTTGGTGTCTTTTTACCCGACGTGACCCCTTCTTTTATATTTTACCAAAAAATTGGGTAATGTTTTATAACATAACGTAGGTAGAACAGGTTTTTTTTTTTTTTTTTTCCCCCCCCAACCTTTCCTGTAATTTTTTCATTATATAGTAAAAAATAGAAACCCCCTGTGGTGATTACCACCAAAAGAAAGCTCTATCTGTCCACAAAATATGTTATAAAATTCATTTCAGTACAGCGTTGTATGACGAAATACCGTATATACTCGAGTATAAGCCGAGTTTTTCAGCCCATTTTTTGTGCTGAAAAGTGCCCCCCTTAGCTTATACTCGAGTCAGCGTCAGTGGTCAGGTTTCTTCTTACTTACCTCGCCGAGCGTCGCGTCACTGAATTTCCCACCCTCGGCTTATACTCGGGTCAATATTTTTTCCCAGTTTTTTGTGGTAAAAGTAGGTACCACGGCTTATACTCGAGTATATACGGTAAATGTTAGTCAAAGTACCGCAGCGCTGAATACTGAAAAATGGCCTGGGCAGGAAGGGGGTAGATCTTCCTACACCCACATACTAACAGAAACACAAATCGGGTGCATCTACATACGATTGAGCTACACATGTCAGGTATCACCGTGTGCGCCAGAGTGAGAGCAATAATTCTCCGGCCAATATTCATGGCCAACTCTAAACTGATAATCGGGCTTTCATATTTTTATATATCAGGGGTGTGGAAATCGTATCGCCCGACGCCCGGGACATGCAGTTTCGGGCGCCGGGCAGGTAGTTTCATGATCCCGTGCGCCCGATTGCCTGCGGCTGTGGCTACAGTGCCATTCACTTCAATGGATCGTCCTGCCCCCAATTATAGTGAGCCGGCCGCAATGCGACGCAGTGAGTTCTGGCCAGAATCATCTGGTGTGAACGAGGCCTAAACTTCAAGAGTCAGTTCACACCACAAAGACTGGAACGCAAGCCGGCCGCCTCCCTGCGAAAGTTAGCGTGGCAGTGCATTGAAGTCAATGGCACCGCAGCCACTACCCCTGCCCACGCCGGCACCTGAACGCGTGGCACATTAGTGCCCGTGTTCCGGTCCAGTGCGATCTGCTAAAATAGTACATGCAGCATTTTTTCTGATCGCACTGGACCGGAACACAGGCATTGATGACGTGCATGAAAACGAGCGGATGGATGGGTGGTCACGGAATCGCACACTACCGCCGATCGTGCTGTCAGTGCCATTATTTTCTAATGGCACCCCAGTCCTGCCAGGCAGATTGCGCATTTTCCTGCTGCAATACCGCCTGGGCAATCCCACATGATCACGGTTGAAAACACTGCGCGGTGCATGTCATGAAAATAGGTACATCTACCTTTTTTTCAGCGATTGCCACGCAGATGTAACCCCCATACATGCGGATGCAACCGCTGTATGCCACCGCACGTCCTGGGAATCCCCAAGTCTGCACCAACCCTAAAGGGTAAATTCACTTTCCCAAGTAATTTGGGAAAATGGAATTACCCGCACAAATCTCCCTCCCACTATACTTACCTTTCGGCGAATGGTCCTTCTCGTCCACCAGTACGGGTGTACCTGTTCCATGTATTCTGAATTTCGCTCGCAAATTGCAAGCACTCGTTGGTCAACGCAGTCACCTGACGGCACTGACCAATGAGAAGTGCTTCTTAGCACTGCTAAATACGGTTTTGGTTAAAAAACAAAATTTTGCATCAGGACAAGTAGATTGTCATGAGGGACAAGTAGATTCGGCCACCACTTTAGTCCTTGGACAAGTAGTTTTTTCTAAAATTTCCACACCCCTGTATAGGTATATGTTTTTGTTTTTTTTATATATAATTGTATTTATTTTTTTACACAATTTTGGTGTCTTATTTTAAATAAAAGTTTTGGTTATTTTATTATTTTGGAAGTTTTAAATTCCGATTATTTTAAATCCATTAAACTAATTAAAATGTCCAATATAATGCATATAATTATTACAACATTTTTTTTTAAAAAGGTAGGAATAGGTTTTGTGTTCGGTTTCGGCCTGACAGATTCTGCTGAGGGAGGTGCATTGCAGTGCCATTCATTTAATTGGTATCCCAAACACACCTCCAACCTGCAGTGCGATTGCCCGCACTGCGCCACTCAGTACCGCAATGCGATTGCAAGAAATTGTGCGCAAACTTTTATTCTAAAATGAACTCTGTTTGTAACACTGTGTGTATTTTAAATAAAGGATTTTTTTTTTTTTTATTCGATTAATCAACCAACTAATTGATTATGAAAATAATCGTTACTTACAGCCCTAAAGTTATGCTATGTAAATAAGAACATGTGCCACATATATAAAGTAAATGGAAATACAGTTTAAAATTGCCACCATTTACTCAGACCTTATTTGGACCCACATTTAGACACTTATCCTCAGAAGCCTATAGCGTTTTATCTCTTTTACAGGTGAGAATGATGTTCTACGCTTTAACTATATAAAAGCCAGCTATGATAAAGTGCTGATTAAATGGGACGCTTACTGGCCACCTGATTACAGAGATTTGCTGGGGTTCATGTTTCACTACAAGGAAGCGTAAGTATTACGGAGCAGCTCTGAACTAACTAAATTTCTTCTAGCACTTGCCTATTTCAAAAGGTTGACTGAATAGCCTTTGATGTATACATGCAGAGCATAGTGCCCCAAATACCATGCCCATACCACTGCTTTTTAGAAAAACACACATTTACAAAACAAAGCACGAGCTCTCCTCTCAGGTCACATGACAAGCTTCTTTTTTTTTTTTTTAATCATGGAGCTCACTCTGCAACATTCACTTTGCAGTGTCTAGCAGAAAGCAGTATCCCCGATCGTTATAGCACCTATGGACCCAGCATTTAATGATTACTTGTTTATTTACATATGCACTTTCATTATATAAATAGCAATTTATTATCCCGAACTGTTCTTCATCCTTGAATTCCTGTGAAATCTGTTTAAAATGTTGTTTGAGAAAATAAATCTCATGTTCATTAAGGGGCTAGAGAAGGAAATGCAGTGTATATCAGAAAGCCATAATATGTAAACCATAAAAAAGACTCCATGTCCATTTAAAAAAATAATGAAGAAAATAATAACAAAGGTATCATCATGCATTATATACAACCAAAAAAATAAAATAAATATATATATATAGACTCTCCTGCATTGCCTTGTGAGGGTTGTGGGCTGCGCTCTGCGGACCCCTCTAGACCCTCTCTTTGTGCATCCTGTACGCCTGCGCTGCTCTGCCAGTCGCCCGTGCGTTCCACCGGTTCTTCAGGGGGGGGGTGGGTGGTACCGCGGTACCGCATTGTCCCTGGAATATTTTTCCTCCTGCCATGGATGGGTTTGTGACGCGCATGGAGCGCGCCTTGCCGCAGCGCCCACCTAGGAAGCGGGTTCTGCCCTTGCCCTCCCCTGCCTTGTCAGGGGAGTCCGCTGAGGAGGGGGAACTCTCCACGACGTCGCCTCATCCTGATCCGGGTCCTCATCCGACCAGTGAGGATGAGGCTGCGTCTACGCTCGTGGTCCAGGAAGCCAGGAAGAGCAGGCGTTCCGCCAAGGTGTTTCCTTACATCTCCTTTTTTGATGAATTCATTTATAAGGAGTGGAAACGGCCTTCCGAGTCCTTTGCGGTTCCGAAGCGCTTCTCCGTTCGCTGCCCCTTCCAGGAGGACTTTGTGTCGAAGTGGTCTTCCCCACCGGTGGTGGACCCGCCGGTCTCTCGTTTGAACAAAGCCACGGTTATTCCGGTGGAGGATTCTCCGTCCTTTAAGGATCCTTCCGATAGGCAGGCTGAGGCGCTTTTGCGGTCCCTGTACTCTGTCTCGGGCGCTCTCATGCGTCCGGTCTTGGCTTCGGCCTTGGTCTCTCAGACTCTAACTGAGTGGGCTAAGATGTTACATCAGGGTCTTGCGGAGGAGAACGTCTCCCCCGCCTTTGTGGGTGTCGAGGGTGTCGGTGTCAGCGGTGACGCTTCGCCGTTTGCTCTGGCTTAAGTGCTGGTCGGCGGCCCAGGCTTTCTAAGAAGGCTCTTCAAGAGTTGGCCGTCTGTTTGGTTCCACCTTGGATGAGATCATTAAGGATGGGCAGCCTGGGCCTACCTTCTCCGCTCACAAGCGGCTTTTTCGGCCCCCCGCCCTCCGACAAGGGCGGTAAGTTTAACAAATCCTCCTCTTCTCAATCCTCCAAGGGTCCGTGGCAGCCCAAGTCTGCCAAGCCCGCTGGCAAGCCCCAGTCCGCATGAAGGTCGGGCCCAGTCTCCGGGTCCCGTGGTGGGGGGCCGCCTTCGGGTCTTTGCGGATTTTTGGCTGGCCCACGTCTCCGACTCTTGGGTCCGGTAGCTGGTTTCTTCAGGCTACCAGATCGAGTTTCTGTCCAGTACGGGCAACCGTTTCTTCCAGTCCAACACGCGGCTGTCCCCTTCGCGGTTGGCGGATCTCCATCGCACGGTGGCGGACCTTTGGTCCCAGGGGGTGATTGTGCCTGTTCCCTCCGCGGACAGATTCCAAGGTTTTTATTCAAACCTGTTTGCTGTGCCCAAGAACGAGGGTGTGCGGCCCATCCTGGACCTCAAACGCTTGAACACCTTCGTGCGGGTCCGTCGGTTCCGGATGGAATCCATCCGCTCCGTGGTGGCATGGCTCCATCAGGGGGTTCTGCTGGCCTCCATCGATATCCGGGATGCATACCTTCATATACCCATTTGCGAGTCTCATCAGTGATATCTTCGTTTCGCGGTGGGGGAGGACCGTTTTTCAGTTTGTGGCGCTGCCCTTCGGGCTGGCGTCGGCCCCACGTGTGTTCACCAAGGTGCTAGTCAAGATTCTGGCGCTGTTGCGTTGTCGGGGAGTTTCGATCGTAGGGTACCTGGACGATCTGCTCCTACGGGCAGAGTCGCATTCTTCCATGGTGACAGCTCTGGGGGTCACGGTGCGGTCCTTGGAGGAGTTCGGGTGGCTTCTGAACCTGCAAAAATCTTGCCTGGTGCCTTCACCACGCCTGGAGTATCTGGGCTTGGTTCTGGACGCTGTCGCGGCTCGGGTCTTCCCCGGGACACGCTCCTGAAGCTCCGTTCCAAGGAGGTCTACTTTACGCCTTTCCTCCACTGTACCTGTTGCCTCGGCTGCTGCGTCGGATTGAGGGCGTCACTGTCGTCCTCGTGGCCCGGGATTGGCCTCGGAGGGCGTGGTACACGGACGTGGTTCAGCTGGTGGTGGACACCCCGTGGCGTCTGCCTCTGCGCCCCGATCTTCTGTCCCAGGGTCCTGTGTTCCATCCTGCTGTGCAGTCGCTGGCTTTGACGGCGCGGCTGTTGAGAGCCAGGTCCTGAAGGACCGGGGGTTGTCCGATGCGGTCATATCCACTATGCTCAGTGCGCGCAAGGCGGTTTCTATAAAAATTTCCTACAGCGCGGGGTGGCTCAGGGTCTGGCCTTGAGTACTGTGAAGGGCCAAATCTCTGCCTTGGCGGTGCTTTTCCAGCGGCCTTTGGCGTCTAATGCTTTGGTTCGCACCTTGTGTTCAGGGGGTGACACGCATTGCTCCCCCTGTCCGCGCGCCTTTGGTTCCGTGGGATTTGAATCTCGTGCTTTCAGTGTTGCAGGAATCCCCGTTTGAGCCTCTTCGGGAGATTCCGCTTATATCTTTGTCACAGAAAGTGGCCTTTTTTGGCTGCCTTGTCCTGCATGTCCCCATTGCTGGTTTTGCTTGGGACAAGGCGGTTCTCCGTCCTCGGCCGGCGTTCCTGTTGTAGGTTGTGTCGGCATTCCATCTGAATGTGGACATTGGCTTACCTTCCCTTGTCCAAAGCCGGTTCATAGGAAGGAGCGTGCGCTCCACTGTTTGGAGGTGGTTCGCGCTCTTCGTGTTTATTTGGAAGCTACGGCTTCTTTCCGCGGGACCGACTCCCTGTTCGTGCTCACGGAGGGTCCTCGTAAGGGTCGGGCCGCGTCGGCGGCTACCATCTCTAGGTGGATACGTACTGTTGTGACTCAGGCGTACGCCGTTAAGGGCGTGAGCCTCCATTTCCTGCCACTGCCCATTCTACTAGGGCTGTTGGGGCTTCCTGGGCTTTCCGCCACGTGGCCTCTGTTTCTCAGGTTTGTAAGGCTGCTACTTGGTCTTATGTTCACACCTTTAAGTTCTACAAGGCGGACGTGTTAGCATCGACGGATGCTGGTTTGGGGCGCAAAGTACGTCAGGATACTGGACAGTTTTTCGTTAATTAAAAATGAGTCAAGCCGTCTGCTAACCCCATCAAAGGGGATCTGCTGCTTCCTCCATGCCTGTGCTACCGTTTGTTTTGCAGCTAGAAACATAAAGACTGCCAGTTTATATTGGGAGTTCTTGAGGTTTGGAGGTTTAAGGTGTAACAGGGCAAACCTCGGATCCCTGTTTATGTTTGAAGGATTGATAAAGGAGAATGGTAGCAAATATGTTCCATTAAGGAGAGTCGAGTGGTGGGCACTCTGCTGGCAAGAACAGACCCCGCCCAGTGTCTGATTTGCAGGTATCGGAAGAATTCTGAGGGGGGTGCGTGTGAGTTTGCCCTTATCGAATCCCAGGTGCGCACTCGCCCATCTTGCAGTAGATTGTGCAGGTATATTATGTTTTGGGACTTCCACCAAGCAAATGCCCCAGGCGACTGCATTCCCGCGATAAAGAGTGGGTTGCCTATTATGGGCATTAGTGGGAGATGGGGGGAGATTAGTTTTCCCTGATGTTTGGTGTGATCCCATACTCGGAGAGTATGGTTCATTACGGGGATGAGAGTTTTTGGCCTTGCGTGTGGGGGGAGCCATGGGAGAGCTCTGATTGACGTTGGGGCACAATATACGCTTTCCAGGTCCACCCATAATGGTCTCAGTGAATCAGAGTATAAGTTAGTTATAGGTGCTATCTGGGCTGCCTGGAAATATTTGTGGAAGTTCGGAAGACCCAACCCCCCTTGTTTTTTGTGTGGGGGAAAGTCCGCGAATAGGGAATCTGCCTTGTGGATGTCAAATTGGGGTGGGGGGGCTTTACAATTTGCGCAGGATGCGAGCGAATTTGGAAACTATGTGGGAGGGGTTTGCTGTCAGGGATCCATTGTAGAGCCGCAGTTTAATAGGTTTAGCTCCTCTGGGCTTTGCATTTAGTAAGTTTGCTAACATGGATCCTGGCTTGTTGGATCGTGCATAAAAGTAGTGTTTTGCCCATCTGAGCTGCTTCTCAGCCTTGTCGTTAAGGAGGAGATTCAGTTCCACTTTTACTGAGGCTACTTGTTGGCGTAAAGTGGCTGAAGGAGCTGCTTTCCAGGCTGAGTCTAGGGTTTCTAGTTCAGCGTAAAGGGATTGGATTTTGTTTTCCCCATCTCTCTTTCTGCGAGCGGCTAGGCGAATAAGGTCTCCTCTCAGGGTCAACTTATGGGCTTCCCAAAGGGAAATTGGTGAGGTTACCGACCCCTCATTTTCCGCAAAGTATTGAAGAATGTGTTCCCGAACGATTGTCGCCGAGTCAATGAATGTGAGTAGAGAATCATTCAGGTGCCATGTATAGGAGGTTGGGCTAGAGGTTAGAGACACGCAGTCGAATGCGGAATATTTTTTATACAATGCTCTCATTGGAGAGATTCTGCCCATGATTAGAAAAATCCTAAATGTGGACACAGGGAGTAATTAAAACCAAGAGATCCTGTCCTTTCCCAATTTTATCCAAAACTTGAAAAAAAGCTACATAGCTGGAGTTCTGTAATGCTGTGATGAAGAATTGCTAACCATTTCAACTTTCTTCAAAAAGATCTTTGCATGTGGACTCAATGGAAGTTGGTTTTCAAAAAAGTGCATTCAGTACAGATTTCCTTTTTTTCATTTTCTAGACCTCACCAAAATGTGACAGAGTTTGACGGTCAAGATGCTTGTGGATCCAATAGCTGGACAGTAGTTGATGTGGATCCCCCACAACGCACAACAGATGACAAGACAGTAATGGCTCCAGGGTATCTTTTACGTAATCTGAAGCCATGGACACAGTATGCAGTGTTTGTGAAGACTCTAGTGTCTTCTTCAGACGAAAGGGCAAAATCATATGGAGCAAAAAGTGATATTATCTATATTCGAACAAATGAAACAAGTAGGTGTCAAGTTTTAGATGTCTCACTGGTCTTTGATTTCTTTGTATCTAAATGTTATTTGTTCTGCAATACATATTTTACAATATTTTTTTTCTGCTCCCTTTTTTACAGTACCCTCTGTCCCACTTGATCCCATTTCCGTGTCCAACTCATCATCTCAGATCATTCTTAAGTGGAAACCACCATCCGAGCCCAATGGAAATGTCACGCACTATCTAGTGTTTTGGCAGGCGCAACCAGAGGACAGTGAGCTGCGTGACCTGGATTACTGTATGAAAGGTAAGTGCAGAGTCTTCAGACCCATAAAAAATTCTAAAAAACGGTTCCCTGCAAAAAGGTGAACTTAACGTTCAGGTGACTCGTGCAGCCTTCGTCAGTCATAAGCATTCAACACTTTCTAGCATGTTGAATGCCCCTGATGTTACCACTCTGACACTCTCGAAAATGTTGTATGTTGAAGATTCTGACGGATGCTGTCATTTTTTTAATGAAGTAAAGACTGGTTTTCACTGCCTGTAGAGAGATTCGGGCAATGACTGTGTTGCTTTCTATAAAGCAATGTATTAATGTAGGTATGTGAAAAATGACTTGTAATCCAATACATTAAAACAAATCTATAAGTTTTCTGACACTCCATGCACCATGCTGTCCATGCACCTCGATTTTGTTTCATACATTCTGTCAAAAAGCTCTTACAATCTGTCATATATATTTTAGGGTTTAGTGTGTTGCTTTTTTTTTTGTACCGTATACTACCATGAAATAACCAACCAGCTGGGAGATGACAATGAAAATGTAAAAAATGCATGAACTACACAGATGATCAGAGCAATAGTTAACCCATTCACGGCTAGAAATCATTGATGCCTAGATATTCAGATCAAATATTGCAGCATCAGTGGGTTAACTTGACATTAGTGCTATTAATTAATTTAAAATAATTCAAATGAAATTAATAAAATATGTTTTCAAATATGAATTTGCTTACCTTTATTTTTATATGCATATAAAGCTTTTATTTGGTGAACTGTTTTCTCCGTTTCTTTCTAGGTTGATAAATGTGGAAAAAGTAACAAAAATGTGAAATATTTAAATATATATTTAAAATATTAATGCTCCAAAATGGCTTATTACAAATGTGAAGGGACTCTTATTTTGTACAGTGGGCCAATCTTCTAAAAATTTTAAATTGAAACAGAAAAAATGTTTACTGAAAATTGGCTTTCATAAATCGAATAAAACCTTTAGGGATGCCTTTTTAAGTCTTCTCTGTTCCCGCTAAAAACAAAACTCCATCATTCCTGAAATCGTACACAGAGCGTGTCGTTAAGTTTCCATAGTGGGCGCTGTGTCTGCTGTTTCTCACTCTGTACAAGACTGCTTATAGAAACTGTCATTGTTTCTTTGATGCCAGTAATCTTCTTATGTAAAGTCAGGAGTTATTTCATTATTCTGTTGTGACCATTATTATTCACTATCTAATTGTCAGGGATAAAGTTGCCTTCAAGGACATGGTCACCTCCTCAGGATATAGATGACTCTGCTAAACCCAATAGAACAGACAGCGAAGATACAAAAAAAGCCTGTTGTTCATGTCCAAAAAGTGATGCTCAAATCCAGAGTGAACATAATGACCTGGCTTTTAGGAAAACATTTGAGAATTATTTGCACAATGAAGTATTCATTTCAAGGTAAGGGTGAATCAAGGATCTAATACTATGTTGTTACAAATTAAATATTTAGTGACCAGGGAAGGGTTTTACAGTAAAATAAATAGGGGGGAGTTTAGCTTGGCTTTGAACCCTAGAGTTTACAGTACACTGGCATGATATGCAAAGCAGTATTTTTTAAAACTGTTCATCTTTCTACCACTATAGACCTTTTAGAAAACGTCGTGATACTTTTGGTGTTGCAAATGGTACCTCAGCTGATCAAATTACACCCACCCCTCCTTCTAATGTCACCACAACTGGAGTTCCTATTCCCCCGGAGCCAAAGAAGTTTTCTCAGAGGGTTTGGTTTAAGGAGTCATTTGTCATCTCTGACCTGAAGCATTTCACGGCCTATCGAATTGAGATCCATGCATGCAATCATGATATATTAGTGGGCTGTAGTGTTGCTGCATACGTCAGTGCCAGAACCATGCCGGAAGGTAAGCCATGCACAACTTACATACTGAGCACGTATTATTTACTCAAAGGAGAGCATTACTGTATACTGAACTCCAGGGATAAGCAAATATTTCTAAATGCAAGAGATGTGTATTCTTATTCTTGAATCTTGGTGTACTCTGTATTTCTTCCAGATCTGTGCATTAAATAAATAGTGATCACTCCTTAAACACTATGGTGGGGATTAATCAAAACTGGAGCAGTTCCCCATAGTAACCAATCGGCTTATCTCTTCAGTTTGTTCAGTTAAGCATTGAAAAAGAAAGATCGAAGCTGATTGGTTGCTATGGGCAACTGCTCCAGATTCTGTTTGCTCCAGTTTTGATAAATTCCCCTCTATGTATTAAAAGGAGAGGTGTTTGTAACTTACATTTGCAAATCCATGGGTAAGCCACACCACCCCATCAAGGCCCCTCTGTATAGTGTGGTCCTTAAATTTGATTTAACCAAGCTCATTTCTTTATTATTGATATACGCAGCACCACTGTTGGCCACGCCCTTCCATACTTTTGGGGGACAATGTTGGACAGTAGGTTGAATGTTAGCAACGCTGACGGGCGTTTTAATCCTTCCCCACTCTATCTAAACAAAATGATTAAAAAAAATACAAAACAAAATTTTGACTATACATACTCTTCTTAAAAATTTGCTTATGGTTTACTTTGAAATGCAATTTTTTTTTCTAATTCAGTATTGAATGTATTTAATGTGTAACCCTTTGCCTGCCACCGATGGCATACGCCAGAACACAATTGTTTCCAGCCGGCCATGTCAGTATGCTATACGTTGGTGGCTTTCACCCTTCTGCTATAAGCCCATGGTCGGCTTAGCGACTATGAACTTATCCCAGAAAGGTTTTCCTGACTTTTCCCTGTAAAATAATATCTGTCATCAGCAGCTGACGAGCTATTAACGAAAATTCCGGGTACCAGCACTGCCACCGCCGCCCTCCAGCATGTCATCTTCTCCTCTCCGCCTGGAGGCGCTCCATGCTTCTGGATGGCTGCAGGTGGCAGGGGAGCCTAGGAGGGATCCGATTCTCAGGATGGCCGATCAGCGTGCTGAAAGGACAGACGCTGTCATCGTGTCAGGATGACAGCGTCTCTGTGTGTGACCGAGCGGAGGATCGGTAAATATCTGTGATACTTACTGATCCTCTGTGCAGAGCAAACACTGGAGTGATCAGGTGATCACTCCAATGTTTGTAAACAGCTGGGGACACACAGTACTATGTGTCCCCAGTTATGACTAAACAGGACGTGCTTTACATTACTTCATGTTCATTCATGAGTTTCTCAATCCCCCAACAGTAAAAAATAAACCCCAAAAAATAAGACTCACACCCAAATTAAATGTATGCCCGTTTCATTTTATCATAACACATACACCAGCAGATCGCACACACTATTATTAACCTAAGTTGCTTATTTACAGTTTTGCGTTAATTTTTTACCGTTTCCCAAAAGGGCCAATTGAAAATTCACAAATATTTGTTATATTAACTCAATACAGTTTCATCTTTTGGATTTAGTCGGAAAAGTATTTTTTTGTGCACTGATACTGATTTTAGTGTGCTTTTATCAATTGAGTTGTGCATTTTTATCGGTTTAATATTGATTTGATAAACTTTTTTTCCTCGCAGGACCTACAAATTAGCACTATCTTTTTATTCCCGTGCTTTCAAAAAATATATGGTTTCGGGAGGGGGGTTGGGGGTGGTGTCTTTTACAAACGCTAGCAACATAGCAATAGAAAATCAAAACAATAATAAAAATAGCAAAAATGGTGTGTTAGCTGAGGTTAAAAGCGTTCCGGAGGGCTTGGCTGCGAAAGGGGTAAATACATCAGCAGATATTTTAACAAGTACTATCTCTCCACAGCAAAGGCTGATAACATTGTGGAGCCAGTTACCTATGACTATACAGAACCAAACATTTACTTGAAGTGGAAGGAGCCAAAAAATCCCAATGGCTTGACCATTTTGTATGAGGTACAATACTCCCGTCTTGGAGACACGCTGGTAAGTTTTCTAGAGTTTACCTTATGTTGTACCTATTTTCACATCTGATTGTAATGATTGAAACATGTTGTTCCATTACCTATGTCTTATAGGAGGAGAATGTCTGTGTGTCCCAGAAACAGTACCTTCTTGATAAGGGAGCAAAATTGCGCGCTCTCCCTGGAAACTACAGTGTGAGAGTCCGATCGACCTCACTGGCTGGCAATGGGTCTTGGACACAAACCACATACTTTAATGTGCCAGACCAAAGTGAGTATCCATACACCTTAGAAATGCAATTAGCACATATAGCTGTTACTGACAGATCATAACATGGATCGTATGCTCTTATAATTAAAACTGTATGTTTTACAGGATATTAAACACTTGCTCCAAGTTAGATATTACTGTAGACATAAGTAATGCTTTATATTTCAATAACTTAAAGTTGAGCTGCTGAAAAAAAATATGACACAAATTGGTGAGCCCCCATTTCAGTTGCTTTTATCCCTGCAGGACTCCACTGGTAAGGCTTGTGCACTGTAGCTGATTTTCAATTCTGAATTAAATGAATTCTTGATTATTAAAGGAGAACTATGGGGTCAGGGCTTTTCCCCGTAGTTCTTCTTAGGGTAACGGGAGGACACAAACTAGCGTCCTCCCGTTACCCTAAGCTCAGTATACCACGAGCTACAGCTTGTATACTGAGACGCCGGAGCGGATCCCGTCATCGATGTCGAGATCCGCCCAGCTGCGTGAGTGACAGCTGGCTCTGCCTATCTAGAGGCAGAGCCAGATGTACCCGCCCCCTCCCCCGTCCGTTCCGACAGTCAGCGCTGGCGGATCGGAGCGGGGAGGGGGGAATCCAGCCCCTCCCCTGTCACAGCAGAGAGCCGTGACAGGATCGAGAGGTGAGCGAACGCCGGTATATGTTCGCTCACCTCCCGATCTACTGAGCCGACCTGTGACAGTCTCATTGTCACAGGTCGGCTAGAACTATGAGGTGAGTGAAAAGCACTCACCTCATAGTTCTCCTTTAAATTCTTGATAATTATGGAGAGTTTCAGGGAGTGCTTGACAAGTCTGTAATGACCGATACTATATCAATGGCTTCAAAGTAGAACCAGGCTAGTCTAAAAATCACGCTGTTGGAGCCTAAGGCATGTGAGTAACCTACCATCCAGGACTAATTCCAGTTTTGGTTTTCTTGTTCAGCTAAAATTACCAGAAAACCTTCTTCTTTTTTTTTTTAATTAATGTATTTATTTTTGAGAAGTTTTAAAATTAATATTACAATAGTCCAAAATAGCTCAACAGTAAAGGAACAGATGTGATCTAACACAGACAATTTTCATAAGGGACCATATACTGTATGTGAAACAATGATCCGAGAATGAACAGTGGTATACACTATATATGGCTAATAACCGTGTGCTTGGGATGAGTGTTAAAAACGAGCATTGTGTGGTCGCATGAGCAAGTCAGTTGGGTGAAAGTTAGAATATATGAAATCGAGTTCCAATATGTTTGAAGTATCTCCAGCACTGGTCTGGGATGTTAGAGTTATGGGTGTGCAAAAAAGGCAGCGGTATGGCACCAATAATAAAGGATTTTTAAACATACAGTAAATCCCCTACATACGACCTAAAAGTTGCGAACGTTCAAAGATACGAACATGTGTCCAATCATGTTAGTTAGTTCACGTGTCTGGCATACATTGTCAAGTGTGTGTGCGTTTGTGTAGTTTGCTGTACAGTACTGTATAGCGTACAGGTGCTTTATTTCAAGCCCAGGATGTCCGGAAGCGAGCGTAAAAGCAGCAGTGATGTAGCTGGGCACCTAGGCTAACTTTATTGGCCTTACGAACACGCTCTCGGAATGGAACCCATTCGTAAGTAGGGGACTTACTGTATTAAGCTTCTGTAGGCCAAAGCCCAGATTCACTCCATTGCCCCACAGTAAAAACTCTGTGCTCCCGTTTGAGCATGTAGCACCCAGTGCAAAGGGCATTAGTGCACTTAAGTAAATGGCTTATTATTTAATTGTTAATGCTGTTCGTTTTCTCTACATCTTAACAGTTAGTGTCATCATTTTCCATCTATATATATTTCAGAACACAGCACAAGGAGCATACTGAATATTCTTGTTGGCCCAGTCATCATACTCATTATTTTCCTAATTGTCCTGACTGTCTGCATGATACAGAAAAAGAAGTAAGTGCAAAGTTTTAGTTGTTTCTCTAAATACATATTTTTGCTGCATATAGGAAGAATCACTTATTACATGAGATAGATTTGTCCTGATAACAGTGGAAATAGAGGGAAACCCCCAAATTTTGAAGTTGTCACAGAAAAAGGAGGTTAGGGGAAATCTTTCAGGTGGGAAACCTGCTCTGGTTACAACTGTCTAAGAGGCGATATCCCCTCTCATTGAAAAAAAATCATCTCTTACATTCTGCCATGTCTCTGGCACAGGATGTGAAGGGAAAAATCCTGACAGGGTCTCTACCATTCCCTACTCTATTCTTTACATACACTATAAAAAAACAGTTTCTTTTTGGAAACTTTGAAAAATACAAAGAGAAATAACCCTCAACAGCAGATTAGGTGGTCACAGCGAGAGCTGATCACTGATCGCAGAGCCATGACTGTCACAGAGCCGGCAGCAGTTAACTGTTTTGTAAACTGCTAGCCATCTGTGTGATAGAAAGTATCTCTGAGGAGAATATAGTATTCTGCTCAGAGATGATAAGTATCGAAGCCCCATTAAATAAATAAAAAAAAATAATAACCCCTTAGTGTCCCCTAGTTTAAAAAAAATAGAATTTAAAAAAAAATTTAGTTTTTAAAAAAGGAAAAAAGTTTAAAGAAATACATTTAATATAAATTGTAACATAATAACAAAGAATATAGTGCTGAAGAGGTTATTTATAGATAGGAGATAAACATACCACATTCTAAAATTGTTCCACTAAAATTGCATTTCGCTTCTTATATTTTGTGACTTATAACTCCAAAATAAACTGAAATCCTAGACATATGCTATACCCTATAAATTAGGACAAATCTAAGAATTTATTATTAATTACTTAATCTACACTAATTATGTACATATTATTGCCAAAACTGAAAAATAATGTATTTTTTTTTCATTTTTAAAAAAAAAATAAGAATTTTATATATGCATATGTCGCATCAAATTGAAGCCCATTTTGACCTTTAAAACATGGTAAATAATATGTGACGGTGCAATGCATGAGGAAGGCGGAGATTATGGTTAAACGCATAGCAAAAATGGCATTATTGCTCCGGTCCCCAGACGCAAAATAATTTTTGGAAGCTGTCACTAAGGGGTTAAAAAAGTGTACCATTTTCCCTATGTTTTGGGGCTGCTGCAAAGTAGAAGAATCTTACCTTGCAGCATAGCGGCTCCTAAACAGAGCATCCTGCTTCCAGGCACTAAAGAGAGGGAGCGATGCAACCCAAGCTATACAGCAATCCAGCCGCATCACCCGCCCCTTTTCACTATCCCCCATTCAGAAAATGTCTTTTTTTTTTTAGAATACAAGCTATCTGAGTTTTGGGGAAGGGGGGGGGGGAGGGGTGTGACATCATATCTGCGATCCCATCACCCACCCTTTTTCCTTATCCTGTATTCACAAATTGTCTTGTATTTTTTTTAACAAATACAAGAAAGAGGGAGGGGGTGGGAATGTGACATCTCCTCCAATCACAGAGTAACTTGTACTCTTCAAACAATACAGGACATTTTGTGAATGGAGGAGAGTGAAAGGGAGAGGGTGATGTGACTGGAGTGCTTTATAGCTTAGTTCACATGGATCCCTCTCTTTAGTGCCCAGAAGCAGGGAGTTCTGTGCCAGGGACAGCATGCTGCAAGGTAAGATTTTAATACCCGGCAACAGCCCTCTGTACATAACACCCAGTTTTTGAATTCTAATTTACACACCCAGTGCCTTGTTTAACTTATCATTCGCGGAGTCTGGCTTTAATAAAATTAAGTTTACAAACCATTTGGCCAGCTCATGAAATATGTGGAATTTGTAGGATGTTCTGTGGTTAACTGTGTAGGTCGTGTGAAAATCTTTTGATGTGTATTGTTTTATAGAGATGCAGAAGGCCCAACGGGACCACTCTATGCTTCATCTAATCCAGAATATTTAAGCGCAAGTGAAGGTGAGTATTTGTAACACTTAAAAATAATTGTCTGTATGGACCTTATGTCTGCTACTAAATGTTTACAAAACCTGGTTGAGGTCCATAGAGGACATGTTTGCAGTATTTATTATGAAGCATAGTAGAAAAGTTTTGTGTTACTCTTGTATTGACACCTGTGGGTAACTAAATGTGTGTAAATAAGTAATCACCAGTAAATGCCCCTCAGTTTGTTTTTTTAAGGAACTCTACTGACCTTTTTTTCCTTTTAGAGGAGAGCTTATGATTATTGATTTACATAATGCCAGCTTCTAAATGTGCAGTGACTTAAACTGTAATGCATCTGTTCCACCTCAAAATGGCCATTTTTAAAGTGTGCCTATACTGACCTTGAGTTGTTGTGTGTGCATATTTCGAGTGCATTAGAGCCAGTAAAGCCAGGACAACTTTTATGCAATTATGGACTCCATCTAGGAGTTGTGTTCTGTTGTTTCTCCCACCTGCCGCACCTCACCATTGACCGCCCATCATATTGAAGGCTAGTAAGGCATAGGAAATGGGAGATGATGGGCCCAAGCACTGATCTTGTAGATAGTCAGTGTTTGCATAATAGTGTGCCCCATGTTTTAGCCCATTTCCCAAGTTATTTGCAAGAACCTACATATACACCCTGGTGCCTGTTTGCTGTTTTAATTGGTCATTACACATATATGTTTTTGTGGTTTACATGTGGTACCATTCATTACCTTGGAAAGTCAGTTTGCCGGGGATCACAATAAAATGTTAGCAAGCAGTATAAAAAAAAATCTGTACTGTTGGGTACAAGGCTACAGTCATCTCTATGTGCAGATGTCTTAAGACATGATCTTGTGCTTCATTGCTTTCCGAGTCCCTAACGTAGAACTAGTATACAGATTAGGAGTTCTGACATAACCTGCTGCATGCCTATTCCAGATTAGCAACTCACAGAATCAAAAGCAGTGACAGGCAGGTATCTAACATTTTCGTAATGCGTTAACCTTGGCAGGTTACATATCTCCTTCAGGACCAGTTTCCTTTACTTTTGTTTTTCGCTCTTTGCATACAGCAGTGACTGTCCATATTTTGCACCCACTTTGACACTGTTGATATATGTACACAGCACAACGTAATGGTATATCATTCTTCTAGTGTACATTCCAGACGAGTGGGAAGTGCCACGAGAAAAGATCATCTTGCTCCGAGAATTAGGGCAAGGTTCCTTTGGAATGGTGTATGAGGGGAATGCTAAGGACATAATAAAAGGAGAAGCTGAAGTACGTGTTGCTGTGAAAACTGTGAATGAGACTGCAAGTCTTCGGGAGAGGATAGAGTTCCTGAATGAAGCCTCCGTCATGAAGGGATTTAGCTGCCACCATGTGGTAAGTACTAGAATTCTTCTAGAAAAATATATCCGTTTATTTCAACCCTTTACATGAAAAGTGCCTTCATGGGTAAGAAAGCACTGTTTCACATTTAAATACTCAACCAGGAATGGAAATGCCACATTTCATTTTTAGCATAATCTGCAGTTTGTGTGAGGAGCAGCCATTACATTTTGTATATCCGTCAGTGTAAGTTGCGCCAACCTATTTATTAATTGTTGGATTTAAAGTCAAATCTCTTTTAACGAGGGAAAACTGCTATTTAAAGAGTTGTCGACTGCAGGTTGGCTACCTTATAAAAGTTTTCCCTGCCACTCCCTATAATTTGGTTCAAAATGAGGACATTTTTGTTACCCAAATTACTAGTTTAAGTTATGAACCGCTATATAAGCGTTCAAACGTACAAGTATATGGTTCTGAGGATTCAATCATGAGATTTTTGAGCTCCACACAATAACAGAAATGTATTGGTATATAGTATCAAGACTTAAATACAGTGAACCAACAATCTATTTAACTACAAAATACAAAGAAAAGATTTACACATGCAAAATACACAGACATTGATATATAAGAGACAAACAATAGACATACATTTAAGTGATGATGGAGTGCCTGAATATTTTCCCGTTACTTGTCCAATGAGGGCCCCATTCTGGTGGTCTAAAAAGACTAACTTTTCCCTTCCTGCCCCTTGATTGATATCTCTGGTCTTCATAGGGAAGTATTGAGAGACTTCGATTGGTGGCCTCCCAATGCTTAATTTAATCAGATCTGAATTCTATGAGGATTGGATGTTCCCAAATACCCTTTGTTAGAACTTCCAACCCCTTTCTATTGCGAATCTTTTAAGATGAGCAGGAAATTCCAGATGGGCAGGTGTCTCGAGGCTAACCCCAGGCCATGATTTTATCTGGTTGTTTACTACATACCAGGAAACTTTTGATGATATTGGCCAGAGACCAAAGAGAGTATGTACCTATTGTGAGAAACAAGGGTCTCGGCTCCGAAGTGTTCATGGATCTCATTGTCTTTTGTCTTCACCATTTACCATTAACAGGCTATGCCTGGACAGATTCACAATTACATTTACAATTCATTGGTATGCAACTCCCCTGGACAATGATAGCCCACAACAAAGAACATATTTAATTACCGTATTTGCCGGCGTATAAGATGTCTCGGCGTATAAGACGACCCCCTACTTTTTGTGTTTAAAATATAGGTTTTGGGCTATATTCGTCGTATAAGACGAGTATAGCTCAAAATAATGTTTAAATGCACTTACTAACCTCCATCGCGGTATTCCCGAGTGTGGCTCGGGGTTAATTTTCAGTACCATAAGTGGTAACCCCGAGCCACACTCGGGATTACAGTCTCTTACCTTGTCCACGATCCCCGCAGCGTCCTCCATCTTCCGTCCTTCAGCTACATACAGTATACCGAAGTATACCCAGCGTATAAGACGACCCCCGATTTTCGGGCAGTGTTTTTGGGTCTAAAAACACGTCTTATACGCCGGCATATACGGTACCAGCTCCCATCACCTCATGTGGAATATTTAAAAATAAAACTATATACATATGTCTTATGATGATTTGACATAAACGCACAAGGTAACATTTTCTTTCCGCAGTAATATGCAACTTGAATCCTATTATTGTACTTTCCAATGTTCAAACAAAAGAATATAATTTACATCATATGTTTTCGACCGTAACTGCGCTTAATATGAACATGCAGTGAAGATTGTCTCTAAAAAGTGGTCATAGATGTATTTTCGTAGAAAATAAGAGCACCTGGTCAGGAACTCAGTCACCTGCACTCCATACTGGTGTTCCCATCCCAATCCATCGGGTCATATATTGTGTAGCATTTTCTTAAATCTCTTACAAAGTACTATTGAAGACCTATACTCATGTAGATTACACAATCTACACTTGCAGTGTAAGCAGCTGTAGGTAGACCACCTGTTTGTATTAGAAAAAACTTTTCTATGTGCATGTTTCCTACAGTCCTATCTCTTGCTGATTGCAAATTAAAGTCACTCTGTTCCTTCTTTACTTTCCCAGGTTCGTCTTATAGGTGTTGTCTCCAAAGGTCAGCCTACACTGGTCGTTATGGAGCTCATGGGCCACGGAGATCTGAAAAGTTACTTGCGCTCACTGCGCCCTGATGCTGAGGTGAGAACACTTCACATTGTTTAATGATACCAGGAAAGGTTATAAGAAAGAAAATACAAAACCTGCACTTCTATACAATCCTTTTGTTTCTTGTAATAGCTTCTAGTTTTAAGGCAGTAAAGAATGAAAATGGAAATATCAAGGCCATAACACTTTTGTGATTTGTAAAAATATAACACCTAGCACTACATTTTTGTGATATTCTTCTATCTGTGCTTCAGAATAATCCAGGCCGTCCAGCTCCCACCATACAAGAAATTATTCAGATGGCTGGAGAGATTTCTGATGGTATGGCTTATCTCAATGCCAAAAAATTTGTTCATCGTGATTTGGCTGCTCGAAACTGCATGGTTGCAGAAGATTTCACTGTGAAAATTGGAGGTGGGTTAAAATGGCTAATGTTCCTTTAAGCTAACTAATGATGTTTATAATGAGAATTAATTGCTTAGTATGTTATCATGTTCTTTATTATCTCGATTAGCATATTATGTGGCATTGATTCAGTATCATGATAGATTCCTACAGAGAATCCAGATTAGGATTGTGCAGTTTGAACAACATATTATTGTGGAGAATCCAGCACGGAGTAGCAGGGGTGTGGAATTCCTATCAGCCGACCCCCCGTGACATGCAGTTCCGGGCACCGGGTAATTTTTCTCTACATTTAGCCCTACTTTAGGCGAGCAGGGCTAAATGTACAGGGAGGGAGTCGTTTTGTATAGGTAATCTTGAGCGGCTGTACAGCCGCCCAAGATCACTTGTAAGCAGCCCTATTATCACTCCCCCCTCCATGGTCCGTCCCTTCCCGAACACTGCCTCTCTCCCCGCCCATCATTTGTCACCACCGGCCGCTTCTCTCCACGCAGGCCGCCTCCCTCTTCGCTGTGGTTTTCTGAGTCCCCCACTCTTCTGGGGGACCCGGGCCACAGCAAATAACATTAGGATGGATAGCGGGGAGCAGAGCGGAGAACATCTGTTCTCCACTCTACTCTGTGTGAATGCTTCACTGACGGCCTTCCTGTCACAGGGGAGCGGGTACAATGCTGTGCTACTCCTGTATTGGAGGTGACAAGTTCAATAAAGAGAACCTGTCCCCTCCAAATGCTTGTTAGCCCCTGTGTGATCGCAATAAAGTTAAGTTAAATTTTTTTTTTTAAAGTAAAGAATAATAAAATAAAAAATAATGTAAATATATAAAAATAATCATTAACAATGGAAATAAATAAATATAAAAAGGTGTTAAAGTAAAAAATAATACAATTTACAATAAAGTAAATGATAATAAGAGAAATACAAATTTTACAAAGTAAATAAAAATTACAAAAATTAAAACCAACCCTGCCATCTGCATGTAATTAAACGCATGCATGGAGCATTGTGTGTGTGCGCTGAGTGCTGTCCTCATTCCACTATGTGACATATTGTGTTAGCTGGGCAGCAGCGCTCTCTAACACACACAATGTGCTATTCACTTTCCCAAGTAATTTGGGAAAATGGAATTACCTGCTCAAATATGTCCCCCTCTTCCCCGCTGCTATACTTGCCTTTCAGAGAACGGTCCTTCCCGTCCACCAGTACGGGTGTAATTTCTGTACCCCATACTGCGGTCCAATGCAGCCCTGTGCCATGTATTCTGAATTTCGCTTGCAAATTGCAAGAACGTTGGGCAGCGCAGTCACCTGATTGCACTGACCTAATAAGAAGCACTTCTTAGCAACTGCTAAATACAGTTTTGTTTAAAATTATTTTTTGTATTGGGACAAGTAGATTGTCATGAACGACAAGTAGATCGGGCCCCCGCTTTAGTCCTTTGGACAAGTAGTTTTTTTTCTAATTTACGCACTCCTGAGTAGGTAAACATAATGCTCAAGATAAAGTATCTCATTGGGTTTCCAAAGACAACCTGATTTCACCAGCAGGTATCACTGCAAGTGTAAGCTTCAACTGTAGCAGTGCTGGATCAAGGGATTGTTTTTCTAGAGTCAGAAGAACATATTTCTAGTTTTCCTGCAAATCCACAGAAAAAAAACTCAGAACTTTGCAAGCGTATTTCATTATCCTTTGAACAATGCAAGATCATTCATAGATTCATAGTTCATTTCTAGTATCGCCTACAAATTGTCAAATTAACTATTCCTCTTAGATTTTGGGATGACTCGTGACATCTATGAGACCGACTATTATCGAAAAGGTGGAAAAGGGCTGTTACCAGTCAGATGGATGTCCCCTGAATCTCTGAAAGATGGAGTGTTCACCACCTTCTCAGATGTCTGGTATGAAATAAATAGACTAGCTCCCTATTCCGCTAAACCACATTTTACACACATCCTTTAGCAGTAGCATGCTGCAATCATGTTTTCTTCTGTAAAATAGTTATGTAATGCTGAGAGTAGTATGCAATGCTAGGATTGCTGTGCTACAGGCATGTCCGAGGGATCCAATGATGTATGATATGCACTTTTTCCATAAAATATAACAAATGCCTAATCTCCAAACATAGTTTCCTGCCAGTATCGGCATATGATTAAATAAAGGTACTTATGTTTCTGAATATGCTTTTGAAAACTGTTTTTTCCACTCAACAAGTACATCCACTACATATTGGGTTCACTTTTTATAGACTAAATACATACTGCCTGCTTATTTAGCCAAGAAACTTGACTTTTGGTATTGATCCAATTATCAAAATATCTAACCATCTGTTAGGATGTTCAGCTAACTACATAGTGCTTGGGACAGACATATACAAAGTGCAACGCGCTAAAATATCCCAAATAATATCATCCAAATTTCATCTATTGAAATCATAAATATGTGAAATCATAACATATAACAACGGATTGTTGAAATCTATTGAAATCCTAAATATGTGAAATCATAACATATAACAATGGGTTGTTATATGTTATGATTTCACATATTTAGGATTTCAATAGATGAAATTTGAGTGATATTATTTGGGATATTTTAGCGCGGTGCACTTTGTATTCGATCATTCACTGTTTATATTGTTAGCACGGCTGCTTTATTTATTTATATTTTCGATTACTTATAAAACAAATTTTTGACTGGCAAGATTTTGTATCTGTGATTGAACAATCACATAGGATCAGCCCAGATGATCATTAGGTTGACTAGATGGGTTGAAATATTAACAAAATGTCCATTTACACCGCATTGTACAATTCACTGATCAATTACAATGCCTCGTCTAGCAAAGTCTCTTCAGATTGTCACTGAACTTTGCACTTAAAGCTTGGCTCTTTTTTACTGTTTATAGAAGGCTGAAAACCTAATTGAGCAATAAAATCCTGGTGCTTTAATTGAAAATGTGATACTGGCCCTAGATCCATCACTCTCATTGCACACTCTGTTTTTTGAATAGTTATTTGTGGCCATGGATGTTTAAAAATGTTTTATTATGGTCACATTGGCTCTGTGTTTTTAGTATTAATTTAGTTGTAATTTGACACACACATACACTACTCATTTGCTGCTCTCTTGTGTAAAATGTTACTTTTTGCCTTTTAATCAGCTTATAAAACATTAGTGGGATGTCTTTTTTTTAAAATGTGAAACCAGTCCCTTATAATGACTCTCTAATGGTAAGCTAACTACAAAGTAAGAGAATCTTTTAATAAGTGCCACTGTAAGTTGCTTCAACGAGTCTTTCTGATTTTGGCAGGTTACAATTGTCATGCTCCCTCCCATCTCCCATACTGCAAGACATTGTGCTTTAGCCTATGTATATCTGTGTGTAATTGCAAGCCCTGGATCCCTTTGGACTTCCCTGGATTATGTGTTCACCTTCGTTGGGCAGCCTTGGCCAGCACAGTCCCCAACGCATTGACAAGCCAGTTTGCATTGTTTCCTATTAAGTTAGTTCACTTCACCATGTTGTGCTTAAAAAATAAATGGTTGGTGTTCTAGTTAAGACTAAGCAGGCAGTTTAGCAAATGTATTTACTTGTTCATGACAATTACATTTATTATTATTTGAAAAACAATTCATTTAGTTCTACTGTTTTTTAATCGGCGCCATTAGTCCAGTTTATATGTAGAAATGACACCTTTTTTTTACCCTCCAGCAAACTACTGTAATAAGCTGTCTCTTGCTTTTTACATAGATTGCAGTTTGCTGGCATTGACTTATTTTTACCTTGTACCATTGACTTCAATCCCAGCCTTCTTTTTCCCTCATTGCTGCTGTGTTTTGAATAACACCACCAATGTGGACTTTCCCTAAATGTTGGATAGCAGCCCTGAACTGAGACTATCCAGAGAACACTGACGTGTAAATGTGTGTAAAGCGCAGAAACTCTATCCAGCTATCGTATGTTTAACTCTCTACGACAATATCAGCAAACATTCATGCTAAAACAAACATGCAGATATGAATAATACTTGGTAGAGAAAATGTGTTGTTGGCTAGCAGCTGATTAGTTAGCTAATGTGACGCTTTACCAGTCTACCTTAATGAGAAAAGACATGCAGTTAATTCACATTTATTTAATACATGTGAAAAATGCGAAATAATTAGTGCACTCCAGTGGTGCGACATGCGCACCCTGAGATGATGCATCTCCCGTTACTGAGGCATTCAGGGAATGTACAGTGAACTGCGCATACGCAAGCTTTTATTGCAGAAGAGCCAATGTCTGCCTGTCTGCTCGCCATTGTTTCTTGTACAGGTAAAAAGACCTTAAAAATAAAACCTTACCCTAGTCCACTCTCCTTGCCCACCTCATACAGAGTTGGCTTGTCATTGTCTATGGCAAGCCATGGCTTATGCGTGGGATAGCAGGGGAACCAAGAACACAATGCTAAATATAAAATTGCTGTGGCTGTAGGCAGACTTTGCCAGTCATATGATAGCAAGTCTGAATCTGGGGTCTGTACTGGTAGTATTGTATTGAAGGTGGAGTAGGCTAGAGCAGTTTTTTGTTTTTTTTAAAGTAAACCACTTCTGGAGACACAACAATTAGTAGGTGCCCAACATACATTAAAGTAATATAACTTTCCTAAGCATACATTTGGGGACACAGGATGAAGTAATTCAGATACATTGGGTTATGTTTCTTTGACACAAAGCTGTTAGGGCAGTGTAGTATAACCCCTCTCAGCCAACATACTTCCCGACCGTTCCCAGGTAATGCTCCAGTTCTTTGTGTCCTTGTCGAATAGACATCTTTTCTCCTCTGAGAGAAGGAAATTAATTTATTTTTTATTAAGGTTAACTTTTCTTCTAGCAAGTTTCTGCAGTTGCTTTTAGGGGCTCGTTTTTCAGCTTTTCAGATCGGCTCATGCTTGGCATGGCTACAGAGGTTGTACCACGGACCCTGCTGTATGGAAGAAGCAGGAACACCCTGTAATATGTCCTGTGGACACTGGGCTCTGCTGAAGGTTCTCTCATTGACACCCGGGTTTAACGTATGAGTTAGCTGCAGAGCGCTTAACAGGTCCAGAGCCATGGTGCACCTGTCTGGTGGAACCCTGTCCTTGGAGACTCCTTAGGGAGTGTGCTCTCCAGAAGGGCAAAGGCTATCTGGATGGAGCATGTCCCCTCGATCCTGTCTCCTTTAAAAAAAAAAAACTTAAATTGCAAAATATATACTCTATTGTAAGAAAATGTGTTGCATATCCTGAGGTTTGCTTTGGAATACAAGGGGCCTGGGTAAGTTCATTTCCTTTATTACCAGGCAATTTTTCAGCTTTCATAGCTGTGATGGTTTGAGTAGTACTTGGTCATGCAACGCTGCACCCATGTGAAGGCAGCAGCATAACCCAATTGCTTTGTCCTGTGCCCCTAACATACAAGAAAAGTATTTTACATTGAGTCAGAAATAATTCAAAACTGTCTTCCTTCCAGGTCATTTGGTGTAGTGCTGTGGGAAGTAACAACTTTGGCTGAACAGCCCTATCAGGGCCTATCTAATGAGCAGGTCCTCAAGTTTGTTATGGATGGAGGGTCGCTGGAACAACCAGAAAATTGTCACCCTAGACTGTAAGTCTTAAATCATTTTAAAAGGGCACAGTACATGAACATGTAAATAAATGTTGCATGACATATTTGAGGCTATATATAAGTAGTTGATATGTAGGAATTATTTTAACAAGTCTTCTTGTTACCTTTAATTCAACAAAAGTAGCAAACACCATTTTAGGTATCTAATGTATTCTCAACTAGCGACTAGCTTTAGACACAACCGATACACATATTATTTATCATGTAATCCATTTCTAATTTATTTGTTACAGCCACAGTCTGATGCAGATGTGTTGGCAATATAATCCCAAGATGAGACCTACTTTCTTGGAGATCATTGATATGCTAAAGGATGACCTCCATCCAAGTTTTCAGGAGCTGTCCTTCTACTACAGTGATGAAAATAAGCCTCCTGAAACAGACGATCTGGAGATGGATTTTGAAAATATGGAGAGCACCCCTCTGGATCCATCTTCCTGTTCATTACGGGATGAGGGACAACGAGGAAATATCTATGAGGAACACATCCCCTACACCCACATGAACGGGAGTAGGAAAAATGGACGTATTCTGTCTCTGCCTCGTTCCAGCCCATCCTAACACACAGAGCCGCCCCCTGTTGAAAACATAACTATCCTCCGTCAAATCTCAGGACAGAACTGTACCCATGGCTAAAACATGAAACCGTCATCGCCCTCTTCAGGTTTTGATTGTTTCCTTGCCCCATCGGGTGCTTGACGTTTTTTGTCTTGTGCTTTTGGATGTTTTTTTTTTTGGACAGTTTGACTGTAGGGCAAAACTGTGAACAGACAAAACAAGGTGGAAAACTCCATTTGAATCAACTACACTTTATTACCTATTTATTTCCAGTGGCTTTTTACTATCAAGGAAAAGGTGTGCTATGCATAAAGTAAGAAAGGTTTCTAAATAATTTGAAAGCACATGCCAAAGCATGACCTGATACTCTACAAGAAGGCAAAATTAAAAATGACACTTTCTTTGTGTAATGGATTAAGGCTGCTGAAACCTTAATCATTGTTGTGAAGCTGTCTAAGCTCAATTTGAGGTTGTATGACCATAGAGTCTTATCCTGTTTTGCCATTGGAAAAATCACATGCAAAAAGCTATTCGGTAAGAAATGAGCGGAAAGGACTCGCTTGCATGGAATGTTTAACAAGGTGATGTTCGTGTACCTTATATGTTGCTCCATCTTCCACTCATCTTCTGACCTGCTGAGTTTCCCCAAAAGTAATACTTTTTGAACTTTTCCAACGAGGTGCATAAACTGTGCTCCTGTGATTTATTTTCTCGCTGCAACAAATTCATTTGGTTTCCTGTTATTCACGGAATGCTCAAGAATCTCCAGTGGTGGGCCCAGTTTTTCTCATTAGAACAGAAACAAGTCTTTGGGATGGTTGATATTTTGTTCTGTCAAATGTGTTCTTAATCAGACCAAAAAGGGAGTCTCGCCATCCCCTTCCCTCCAAGCAAAAACATGAATGCCATTGGTGTGTAATATCAACATCTCTTTTCTACTTAAGCAGCAGAAGGGTTAGTTGGGAAAAGTAATATATCTAATGAATGAAAAACAGAAAATGATATACTCGCCCCAAAAGACTGCATTTTCTGAAAGGGGTGTTTTCGAGTAGTTCTGCTCCTCCAGAACAGTTGGGGAGGTAACTAGTGACTAACAGCTTCTGTGGTTTGTGTATAAGCTTTCTGAAGTCAGGTCTTTTGCCTGGTTTGCTTACAATTAATATATAGCAGTTGCTTTTTTTTTTTCATGTATACGCGATATATTTTTAAAATAAGATCTGTTTTGGTCAAAAATTCCCTAATATTCTGTTGGAAAGTTCCATTGTAGAAGCTAGATTTCTCAGAATTCAAAAATATTTTTCGCTACTCCTTCTTTTTTTTTTTTTTGATGTACCATTTGTCTGTGTTAGAAGACTATTGGATAAAATGCATTATACTGTGAAGTAATGGCTTGACCTACGTGTCAAGAAAAGCGTGTGCATGTTTGCACGCACGCACAATACTGTGCTGAAAATTAGGCTTCACACTAAACATGCAGGCTTACTTAGTAAGGCAGAAAGCAAAGTGCAGTAGCCCTTAGCAGCCAACTAATATAATCATTCTCTGATCTGGCTACAGTAAACTCAAATGTTACTGCTGATGGTTACTGCACTTTGGGTGTCATTTTCAATGTTGCCCTGGCTTATTGATGAAGCCTAGCAGTGTACAAGTTTAACAGAAAACTTTTAATAACAGCCCTCATACTTCAAACCATACTTCTTCACATGTCCACACTCCGTAAGTAGTGCTACATTCTTTATCGAACTGTAATTTCAGTGTATGTATTAAAGCATCTACTCATTGAGGTCATTTAGTTAGTCTGTGAAATTCAGGGGTCATAAATATGAATGTTTTAGCTACTACTGTACGCCCAGCTTTTACACATCTAGTGCAGTAGTTCATGAACCACTTCTTGTATGTTCACAGTAGTTTATAGATTTCTGCCATCCCATCTCACATTGCTGCATAGCGTCCTAATGAGGCCTTTGGTTTGTATCACTTCCCTCTTATTATGATTATTGTCCCCTTATACAGCACTTTGTACTTTTTTTTTTTGTAATCTTTGCTGTGCTATTTTGCTATTTATCTCCTCCAGTTGACCCACACATATTTGATCTACAAGTAACACATTGCACCATATAACTTCTCTACACCACTTCCTGTTATGACATGTAGCTTTTACATGTATATAGCATATATTATGGCCCCTGTATCCATTCTATTTTACCCTAACATATTTCTCCATATAGTTATAGTAACTGATAGTCGTATTAATGTTGTTCCGCTGATTTTATTTTGGTATAACTGTAATATTTTGTAAAGTCTTATGAAAACTATACAGCCAGTTTAACTCTCTGTAGCGCTTAGTATAATTTCAGTTCATCCCCTTTGCTTTAAATATTTGCTTTAAGATTCTTAGTACCTTGTTGCATATTTCCTCCATTTATCAGCAGCACATCATAGTCCTTTCTCCACGTCTTTTGGTATAGTCTTGACATAGTTTGGTTTTCATTTTAACACATGATTGAGCAATTTTGTGACTGCACATGAACTTTATCATGCTGATGCACATCTCATCCACTAGTATTGAAAGGATCAGAAGCCAAGCCTATATTGCCGCTGATGTTTTTGGAAAACAAATCATTCTGTTTAATCTCTAACCTTACTGGCAATAAGCACAAGTATGCTGCTTTCAGATCTTTTCTCTATATTGTGTTCAGCATACTTTATACATGCATTTTTTTGGGTTCCTATATATATAATTTTTTTATTCCAATCTGTATAGCAGCAGCATCATTTTCACTACACAATTTTCCACAGCAAGCCTTCTAGAGTGTTGTGGGTTAACACTACCCCATCCCTGTTCAGTTATCATGGCATACAGGCCACCTTCCTGACAATCTAGCAGTAAAAATGAGAGAATAGTTTTTAACTTTGCCTTAGAGCAGATGCCACAGCCTGCTGAGGCCACTTCAAATGGCCTCTTCTTTTTAAATCAGCTCCCGAGTATCTGCTTTTTCCGAACAGTGTTTTTATATGCAAGTTCCAATATTTTCTCTAAAATTTCATCCCGTTTCCTGTGCCTACAATTTTATGCTTCAGCAAACTGATCTCTTTCTTCCCTCTTGCAGAGTGAGTTCAGTTAGCACACTATCTACCTCAGTAAATTGTACATTAAGAAAGTAACCCCCTGCTGTGCTGGAAGATGGGGTTTTTTGTTAAGACACCAAGTTTTTCACAATAACAATCCCCTACCTGGTGGGACTAAATGAAAATGTCACAAGCATCCTTTTTTATTTTCCTATGGAGCACTCCAGCAAGTAACGCCTTCTAACATGTTGTTAAAACGACAGCTCACAATTGAATGGATATATTACACATTTGGATTAGTGGAGTATGCACAGTTTCAATCTGTCTTTTAAAAATGTATGTAAAATGATTTGGATTTGATTATATACGTTATCTATTCTATTAAAAATTATTTTAAAATATTAGTAGGGCAAGATTTTTTTTTCTTTAAGAAAAGGTGTATTTGACTAGGGCCTAAAGTCCACAAAAGCTAATATATTCGTTATGGATGTAAACGAATGGGCCGAATAATCCACTGGCTTTTAATATCTTTCAGGGGCTCCAGTTTTGATATCTTCAGGTTGGATTTACTTTACTTCCTCCTGCCATAGATTCTCAAACCTTCTATTGCATCTTTCTTAATGGGAAATAAACAATACACCTCTGATAATGGCCATGGCCAGTAGTCACTCAGATGCAGAGTTAAAAGGCAAATGATGTCTGGTTAGAGAAGGCATTTTTTGGACCTTTTTAAAAAAAAATTTCTCCTTGTCGTATTTTACATATCTAATCATTTATTTGCAGTGTTTACTGCTGCATGGATTATTCAGAGAAATGTCTTTTAGGTCACTGAAGGCAGTGAACTATTAAGTGGTGTGAATGCAAATGGCAGGAATGACACACAAAAAAATTGGAATTAGCAATACAGATCAGAGTGTCATTGTGAGACTCCTACCAAATGGATGCAGGAAGGCTAGCTTTTTATTTTGGTTTTAGTCATAGTGGTCAATGGCTTGTGGTCTACAGCTCCAATATACATTAACCAAGCATACAGATGACATTCATTGATCAGGGCAATCAATGCGGAAATTGTTTATTTTCTTTTAGAACAACTTCATTGTAGACTTCATTGTGAGTGAGAATTAAATGTGAAAACGTTTTTTTTTTTTTTCATGTTCTATTTTTAGCCTTTCTAATGTTAATTACTGCTGATACAGGATTAAGGGGAAAAAAAGTCCTTGTAAGAAGTTACAAAGTTAAAATTTTTGTTATAATGGTTACTAGGCGCCCACAGTCTTTCTTGCTATTGGAATGAACTAATCAGCTGTGTTTGTGGCATGTTTTTGCAAGTTTGCCTTGCATGTAGTATAGGCCGTCATCTGTGTTGCTAAAGACATGGGGTCATGTATCCTACTTCTGTGACATTCTGTCATTTAAAGCGGGGGGCGTTGCCTGATTTGGTATCTGTTGTATCAGAAGCAGTAATTTTGGTAGTGGTTGTAGCAGAGTATAGTGTACAGTAGGGTGCAGAAATGTCCCATGCTTGAACGTTTCTGTAAGTGCTGGGGTGTCCCTCTTGTACATGAGAAAAGGGGATTAATTTGCTTACTGCGCACATACTGAATAAGTATGGTGATTTGGCAAGAAAGGTCACATGGTCATATGTAGTAAAGTCTCTCAAATATTTGCTTGTATTGTCCTGTAGTAACCAAACAACCATTCAGACACCTGATATAACTTTTCAGTGCATGTTGCAGTCTAAATGCTGTCACCGAACAGACAGTCCTTAATTCCCATTCTTAGGTAAATAAGGTTGCAGTGACTTCAGGAGTGTGGTAGTTAGGGGGAGATTTCAGATTTCATAGTCGTTTGAATTAGAGCTTCAGCTAACGATTAATTTTCAAAATCGATTAGTTAGCCGATTATTAAGTTCGATTAATCGGTTAATCGGATAAACAATAAAATACATTTAAAAAAATGGCTCCAGTGATGGACTACTAGTTTGTATTGAGATTGTAGTCCATCACAGGAGCAAGCTTGGAGCGGTGGAAAAAAAGTGTGGTGTGCAATATAGTGAAAAGGAAAGTGTAAAATTATACAGCAATGCAGAATGGCACCGGCTATAGAGGACTACAACACCCAGCAATAGTACATTATACGGCGCAATGCAGAATGCCACGGGCTATAGAGGAGTACAACAAATCCCAGCAATACATTATAGCTGGCGGCATTCTGCATTGCGCTGTATAATGTACTGTTGCTGGGTTTTGTAGTCCTCTATAGCTAGTGGTATTCGGCATTGCACCACTGTATAATGTATTATTGCTGGGATTTGTTGTACTCTATAGCTGGTGGAATTCTGCATTGCGCTGTATAATGTATTATTGCTGGGATTTGTAGTCCTCTATAGCTGGTGGTATTCCGCATTGCGCTGTATATAATGTATTATTGCTGGGATTTGTAGTCCTCTATAGCTGGTGGAATTCTGCATTGCGCTGTATAATGTATTATTGCTGGGATTTGTAGTCCTCTATACAGCGCAGTGCAGAATATCACCAGCTATATAGGAATACAACAAATCCCAGCAATACATTATACATACAGTGTATAATGTGTTGCTAGGATTTGTATTCCTCTATAGCTGATGGTACATTGCTCTGTATAATATATAGCACAATGTACCATCAGCTATAGAGGAATACAAATCCCAGCAATACATTATAGAGCACCATGTGTGGGAATGAGTGCAGGGTTACCTGAGCAGTCTTCCAGCAACTTGCTTCTGAGATCGGACCTGTCTATCGGCGGCTGTCATCCACCCATGCCTGCTCCTCCTTACTTCTTCTCC